CGGGTGTCCCCGGAGCGCCAGGCGCACCCCGCCGCAGGGAGGTCAAAGCCCACGTCCCGCTCCGAGCAACAAGCAGCATCTCCAGCTGCTCGCGGTCCTTGTGCGGGCCGGGATCTCCCCGGGGCAAATCGAGGACGTTCCTGTGAGATCGGTGATTTACACCCGATCTGAGCCAGGCAGAAATTCGAGCAACAACCATCCCCGGACCATCTTGCTCGGCAGCACGGCCCTGCACATTTCAGGAAAGGCAGCACACCATCTTCCAGGCTCTGCAGCCCAAGCTGGCACAGGGGTCGGGATCACGGCAGTCTCCATGCCCGGGCTAAACTCACGCTTACCCGGCACGAGGTGGGTGTGTGTAAACCACTGTTCATGGGATGTAATCCTATTTGGATGGGTAAATGTTTACAAACCCCAGTTAATGGGGCTTGCCATTTACACAGCAAGGTAAATCCCCTGTTTCTCACCACACACCCGCGTAAATGTCAGGTTTGCAGACATTTCTATTAAGGAAGGAAAAAAGAAACTCAGAGCGTTTGCACATCTGATGTAAACTGATTTAAAATCGCAGTTTACCCACATTTACATAATGTTTGCTGATTAATAAATTAGATACTTAGGAAATCAGGGGTAGTTCCACGTGAATCATTCTGCTCCATAAACAACAGAAGCTGCAAGACATCGCTTCACCTGCAGAGCAGCTCATCGCCTCGAAGCATGGCTGCGTCCCCAGCCCCGCCGGGCAGGCAAGGCAGCAAGGGGGAGTCCCCAAAAGGCCCCCCCGGACCCCCTCCTCTTCCAGGCTGGGAGCTGAAGCTGCACAGCAAAGCAGAACCAGTGCCTGAATCCTGCCGCAGCCAGTGCTCAGCAAGGCCCTACGCCAGCTCTGACCCAGCCTGTGAGCGGCATGAAGCGGCCGGGTCGTGACAGCAGGGGTTTCCAAAGCCAAAGGAAAGCGGATTTTTCCTTCTTTGAGCTCTGTGTTGCTGTGGTTTGATGGCAGCAACTGGCCAGGCAGCCACTCTGAAGTCAGCTCTGGTGGGTCCCTGCTGCAGACACGTCCCTGCCACGCTGCGAGGTGCATCCTCTCCCCAC